AAGTACCCACCCACACACTCACCAACACACTACACTGAATCTAAATTATGTTTATTTTACCAGGTAAGGCTGACAGAGCTATATAAAATATTTTTCAGAAGTGGCCTGGTTACAAATGATTGGTCAACGAAGTGGCTTATAACGTAATCATTTATTGCACTGCAATCATTAAAATGCTTGTTGATTTTAAATGTGGAGGGAAATATACAGGCGTCAGGGTTGGGATAAAACCCACAACCTTCTGCATACCAGGCGAGGTAGTTAACATCTCGCCACTGTGGCGCTCCACTGTCTGACTCCCCCACCCACTAACCCACTCACACACCCACTCAAACACCCACACACTCGCCCACTCAATCACCCACCCACTCACTCAACTACCAAGCCACTCACACACTCACCCACTCATCATGCCACCAAATCAATCACTAACCGACACTCATGCACCCAGTCACTCTCTCACTCAGCCACTCACCTCCGACCCATCAACCCATCCACTCACTAATCTACCCACCTACACACTCACCCACTCATCCACACACTAAACTAATATTTTTTTATTTTTTATTTTACCAGGTAAGGCTATCTAGATCTTTTTCGGAAGCCACCTCAGCACAAATGACAGCTAAATTAAGTGGCTGTTCACGAATAAAGTTATAGCAACCAGATTATATAAATGCATTTTCAAATGTGGAGGGACAACCCGGAGAACCCGGAGAAAATTCCACGCGACCACGGGGAGAATATGCAAACTCCATATATACAGACGGAAGGGCTGGGATAAAATACACAACCTCCTGTATACTAGGCGAGGTAGTGAACATCTCACCACCTTGGCGCCTTACTCTCTGACTCACCCATCCACTCATATTTTTCAGAAACCACCTGACCACAAATAACAGCTCAATTAAGTGGCTTTTTACGTATAAAGTTATAGCAGCCAAATTCTATAATTGCATGTTTTAAAATGTGGAGGGAGAACCCGGAGCACCTGGAGAAAATTCCACGTGACCATGGGGAGAACATGCAAATATACAGGTGTCAGGGTCGGGATCGACCTCACGACCTCCTGTATAAAAGGCGAGGGAGTTAACAGCTCGCCACCACGGCACTCCACCCACTCACCCATTCAAACACCCACCAATCTTTAATCCACTCACTCAAGAATTTACTCACCTACTCAACTATTCACACCCCCACTCACACACCCACCCATTCACCCACTCAACCTCTAACCTACCCACCAACGCACTCCACAACCCACCTACCCACTCACCCACCCAATAAACTAAACAATCTTTTTTATTTTACCAGATAAGGCTCAGAACTATATTAATATTTTTCAGAAGTGACCTGGTTACCTGATTATCACGGAGACATTTATTGCAGCCAAATCCTCTAAATGCATGTTGATGTTAAATCTGGAGAGAAAACCTGGAGGACCCGGAGAAAAATCCACACGACCACGGGGAGAACATGCCAACTCCAAATATACAGGTGGAAAGGATGGGATCGAATTCACAAACTCCTGTATACTAGGTGAGGTAGTTAACATCTCGCCACCGTGGTGCCCCACTCTTTGACCCACCCACCCACCCAATCACACACTAACTCACCTGCTCAACCTTCGATATTCACTCACCCACCCACTAACTGACCCACCCACCCACTCACCCAACAATCTACTCACCCACCCACTAAACTACTAAAGCCACCCACACACTCACTCACCCACTCACAAACCCACTCACCCTGCCACCCACTCAACCGCTAACTCACTCACTCAAGCACACACTCAGCCACTCAAGAACTTACCTGTGCACCACCTACACACCCACTCATTAACTCAACGACCCACCCACCAACCCACTCACTCACTGACTCACTCACTCTAGACTCCACTCACCCACCCGCTCACCCAGCCACTTACCGACTCACCCACCCAACCACCCACGCACTCAATCACCCACCTACCCACTCACCCACTCAATAAACTCACCCAGCCACCCAGTCAAGCACCCACCCAGTAACACTCACCCACTCACCCACCCAAAAACCCACCAACCCATCGAGCTCGTTGTTGTGAGCGTCGCTCATCCGCCCTCCGTTGTTGTTGGAAGGCAACTGCCTCCAACTGCCCAGTAGCGTTCTTCACGAGCCTCCTCCACTGAGGCCGATCTTGACACTGCTGGTACCAGTCATCGGCAAGTCCACTCAGCTCCACGTCCTCCTGTACCACATCACTCCATCTCTTCTCTAGCCCGTCACGCGCCCGTTTAGCCTCCTCGATCCGTGCCGAACAAAAGCTGTTAAGGCATGCGGTGGCTGGGCATGCGGGCTACATGACCCAGCCAACGCAGCCTTGCCTGCCAGAGGAGCTCACCGATGGGACTTTGCCCAGATCTTTCAAGGATTTGTGAGCTCCTCACACAATCCAGCCTAGTTAAACCCAGGATGGATCGTAGGCAGGCCAGCCTAAATGTTTCCAACCGGCGAAGATGCTCCATTAGGGGGGTCCACATTTCGCAAGCGTAGAGAAGGGAGGGAATGACCATGGCCGAGAAGACCTGAAGCTTCGTGTGGAGTGACAGACCAGGTAGCTTCCAGACAGCGTTACGCAACCGATGAAAAGATATTGCCGCTCGACTGTTTCGGAGTGAGACCTCTGCTGATAAACTGGAGCCGGTCATAAGCACACTGCCCAGGTATGGGAAACTCTCCACTCTCTCCACAACTGCCCCATCACCGATTGGGAGTTGTGGAGGTGGAGTGTCCGATGGTACCTAACCTCCAACCCACACACACTCACCCACCCACACATCCACGCACCCACACACTCACCCACCCACTCACTCATCCATCCATCTACTCACTAACTCACCCAGCCGTGCACCTACTCTCCCACTTTAAGATCCACTCACCCTGCCACCTACTCAATTTATAACCCACCTACTCACCCACCCAACCACCCGCCAACTCCCTCAGCCACTTAGCCACTCACCCACTACCCACGTAATTATTGACCCACCCACTAATTTAATCACCTACTAATGTAACCACCCACTAACTCAATCACTGAGTCACTCGAACTTACCCACTCACCAAGCCACCCACTAAATCTCAAACCCACACTCATGCACTCACCCACCCGCCCACTTACTCACCAACACCCTTAACTAAATCTAAATTATGTTTTTTTTGCCAGGTAAGGCACACTGACCTATATAGATTGTTTTGAGAAACAGGGTTTGGATCGAACCTACGAACTTAAAAATACCAGGCAAGGTAGTTAACAATTTGCCAACATGGCACTCCACTCTCTGATTCTCCCAACCACGAGAACACACACTCAAACACCCACCCACTAACGCAACCATCCATTCATTCAACCACCGAGCCAAGCACACACTCACCCACTCACCAAGCCACCCACTCAATCTCTAGCCCACACTCACTCACCCAGCCACTGACCTACTACCCATCAAACGTCGCACTCACTCATCCACTCTCCCACTCGGCCACTCATCTGCAAACTAAATGAAAATTACGCTTTTTATTTTACCAAGTAAGGCCCTCAGCTATATAGCTATTTTTCAGAAACCACCTGACCACAAATAACAGCTCAATAAAGTGGCTTTTCACGTATAAAGTTATAGCAGCCAAATTCTATAATTGCATGTTTTAAAATGTGGAGGGAGAACCCGGAGCACCTGGAGAAAATTTCACGTGACCATGGGGAGAACATGCAAATATACAGGTGTCAGGGTCGGGATCGACCTCACGACCTCCTGTATAAAAGGCGAGGTAGTTAACAGCTCGCCACCATGGCACTCTACCCACTCACCCATTCAAAAACACCCACCAACCCACTCACAAACCCACTCACTCTGCCACCCACTCAATCTTTAATCCACTCACTCAACAACTTACTCACCTACTCAACTATTCACACCCTCACTCACACACCCACCCATTCACCCACTCAACCTCTAACCTACCCACCAACGCACTCCACAACCCACCTACCCACTCACCCACCCAATAAACTAAACAATCTTTTTTATTTTACCAGATAAGGCTCAGAACTATATTAATATTTTTCAGAAGTGACCTGGTTACCTGATTATCACGGAGACATTTATTGCAGCCAAATCCTCTAAATGCATTTTGATGTTAAATCTGGAGAGAAAACCTGGAGGACCCAGAGAAAAATCCACACGACCACGGGGAGAACATGCCAACTCCAAATATACAGGTGGAAAGGATGGGATCGAATTCACAAACTCCTGTATACTAGGTGAGGTAGTTAACATCTCGCCACCGTGGTGCCTCACTCTTTGACTCACCCACCCACCCAATCACACACTAACTCACCTGCTCAACCTTTGATATTCACTCACCCACCCACTAACTGACCCACTCACTCACTCACCCAACAATCTACTTACCCACCCACTAACCTATTCACTCAACTCCTCACTCACCACACCCCCACAGAATCACGCACTGACCTACCCACTAACTCACTCAGTCACTCACTAATTCACCCACCCACTCAACCATCCACCCACTTACTTACTTATCCAGGCACTCACCTACTCACCCATTAAGCCACTCACCCACTCACCCACTCACCCACACAATCACCTAGTTACCCCCCCACTCAATCTCTAACCCACCAATTTACTCATCCACTCACCAACCCACCTCTCAGCCACTCCCTCACCCACTCACTCACTTCAAACTATTCACTCACCGACCCACCCACTAATTCACACAATCACCCACCACCCACTCAATCTCTAACACACTCATTCACCTACTCCCTCAACTACTGACCGACCCACTCACCCACCGACTCACCCATTGACTCACCCACCAACTAACTCACAGACCCACCCAGCTAATCACCCACTCTATGTGTAGTCCTCACCTCTTCCAGTATTGTGAGATATTCTTCCTCCCAGCGGTATCTTCACGACAACGCCCTGAAGGGTGGGCAAGCCTCTCAACGAGTCGGGCGAGCGGGGCATCAGCCTGGTCATGTTGGGTTCATAGCTCAGTGCGGCACATGCATACACACAAGCAGAACACACACATATGAACACAATAACAACAGTGGGAGCCACTCACGCGATAGGGATGGGCCTGCATGGTCCACTCCAGCTCGATGTACGGCTTGCCCGGATACAATGTTAACTACCTCGTCTGGTATACAGGAGGTTGTCGGTTAGATCCCAACCCTGACACCTGTATATTTGGAGTTTGCATGTTCTCTCCGTGGTCAAGTGGATTTTTATTCTGGTCCGCTGGATTTTCCCTACACATTAGAAACAGGCGTTTAGAGTAGTTGGCTGCTATAAATTTCCACATAAGGCACGTTGTTGACCTATCATTTGTGGCCAGGTCACTTCTAAAAAAAAGAGTTATGTTACTCAGTGAGATGGTTGAGACACAGGTGATGAGCCTGTGTGTAAGGGGTTGAGTGAGTGGTTGAATTAATGATTGAGAGACTGATTGGTTGAGTGAGTGGCTGAGTGAGTGAGTGACTGATTGGTTGAGTGAGTGGCTGAATGAGTGGTTGATGGAGCGATTGGTTAAGTGAGCGAGCGGGTGATTGAGTGAGCCAGTGAGTGGTTCAGTGAGTGAGTGGTTGAGTGAATTAGTAAGTGGTGGAATGAGTATTTGAATGAGTGAGTGTTTGAACCAATGAGTGAGTGTTTGAGCGCATGAGTGTGTGGTTGAGTGAGTGGTTGAGTTAATGACTGAGTGAGTGATTGATTGAGTGAGTGGTTGAGTGAGTGGTTGAGTGAGTGAATGGTTGAGTGAATAGTTGAGTGAGCGAGTGGTTGAGTGAGTGAGTAGTTGAGTGAGTGGTTAAAGTTAGTGGTTGAGTAAGTGAGTGGCTATATGAGTGGCTGAGTGGCTGAGTGAGTGAGTGAGTGGATGAGTGAGTGAGTGAGTGGCTGAGTGGCTGAGTGTATGAGCGAGTGGATGAGTGAGCAAGTGGCTGGCGCGCACCTTGGCTGCGTTGTCCAGAGTGTCCCGCTGGTGCCACCCCACTGTGTTGCTGCACTCCGCCAGGGTGAGAGCAGCGGTGCCGCGCCCGCAGCTGCTCCAGCGACTACGCCATCTTGCCCAGCCCCTCCTGGCGAGCACGCAGCATGCCCTGGAGCTCCCATCACATGGTGCTGGCAATCTGAGACACCCGCCTGTAGCACACACACAGAAGAAGAGATACGGGAATTGATTAGGGTGACCCGGGTGACGAGAAGTTCACTACTTCACCCGGTATACAGGAGGTTGTAGGTTTGATCCAAACCCTGATGCTTACATATTCAATTCTGCTCGTCCAGGCGGGGAGAATCCAATCACACTTATTCGATGTGATGTTTCTCATGGGATATAATAAGCGACAACATTTGGACCCCAAACCGAGAGGATTCTGGGATGTTTGTGGTTTTTTGGCAATAACTCTGGAAGGAAACGTCGCAGACCCATCAAGGTGGGACTCGTCCAGCGACATAATGGTTGAGTGAATTCGGGAATGGTTGAATGAGTGAGTGGTTGAGTGAGTGGTTCAGTCAGTTAGTGGTTTAGGGAGTGAGTGGCTAAGTGAGCGAGTGGTTGAGTGATTGAGTTAGAGTGACCGAGCGGCTGAGCGGTTAAGTTAGTGAGTCGTTGAGTGAGTGTGGCTGATTGAGTGAATGGTTGAGTGAGTGAAAGAGTGATGGTTGAGTGGTTGAGTAAGTGATTAAGTGAGTGAGTGGTTGAGTGAGTGGTTGAGTGAGTAAGTAGCTTCGTGAGTAAGTAGCTTCGTGAGTGTGCGGCTGAGTGTTGAGTGTGTGGCTGAGTGAGTGGCTAAATGAGTGAGTGGCTGAGTGAAAGGGTGAGTGGCTGAGTTAAGGAGTGAGTGGCTGAGTGAGTGAGAAAGTAATTGGTTGAGTGGTTGAGTAAGTCATTAAGTGAGTGAGTGGTTGAGCTAGTGAGTGGTTAAGTGAGTGGTTAAGTGAGTCCCCAAGCCGAGAGGATTCTGGTGAGTCGTTGAGTGAGTGGTTTGGTGAGGGGTTGAGTGAAAGGTTGAGTGACGGGTTGAGTGAGTGGTAAAGTTAGTCGTTGAGCGAGTGGTTGGGTGAGGGGTTGAGTGAAAGGTTGAGTGAAAGGTTGAGTGAGTGAGTGAGTGGTAGAGTTAGTCGTTGACCGAGTGGTTGGGTGAGGGGTTGAGTGAAAGGTTGAGTGAGTGATTACTTGAGTGAGTGCTTGAATGAGTGGTTAAATGAGTCTTTGAGTGGTTGAGTGAGTGGTTGAGTGAGCGAGTGCTTGAGTGAGCAAGTGAGTGGTTGAGTGAGCAAGCGAGTGGTTGAGTGAGTGAATGGTTGAGTGAGCGAGCGGTTGCATGAGCGAGTGGTTTAGTGAGCGAGTGGTTGAGTTATTGAGTGAGTGAGTGGCTGAGTGAGTGGCTGAGTGAGTGAATGGTTGAGTGAGTGAGAGGGTGATGGTTGAGTGATTGAGTGAGTGGGTGGTTGAATGATTGGTTGAGTGGTTGAGTTAATTATTGAGTGAGTGAGTGGTTGAGTGAGTGAATATCTGAGTGAGTGAGTGAGCGGCTGAGTAGTTGAGTGAGTCGTTGAGTGAGTGTGTGGCTGAGTGAGTTTGTGGCTGAGTGAGTGAATGGCTTAATGAATCACAGCTATGATAAAAATGGACATCAGCATATAAGTGGTCTTGTATTATCTCAGTAAATGAAGTTTAATATAAAATTGTACACTCACAGGATCGAGATAAAGATGACATTGCACATCGGGGTAAACCGAGTCGCGGCTATGATGACATTTTGCATTAGCATAACATTGATTTATTAGCATACAAAATTACTTTTTGCAGAGCGATTTAATACAAAAGTCTGATAGACTACATTCATTTTTTTTTATAAAAAGTACATACAAACCAGGCATCAATACCGTTGCTTTGTATGATCGGACATTTTGAGCTTGCTGCTGTATCGACTGAGTGGAATCAATACAATTAGTATCGATTCACAATCAACAAAGACCATATTTGAGAAAATCTCTGATCGGTGATTTTGATTGCATCGTATTGCAGCGCCCCTTTGATGATGTTATAAAGCACTTGCCCCAACAGTCTGTTAAAGGCTATATGGGGATCTTTGTGTGCGAGTAGCTCACAGATCCTTGAGAGATCTGAACACTGTCCGATCATCAGCGAGCTCCTCCGGCAGGCGAGGCTGCGTTGGCGGTTGTCTGTGCATTAAGAGGTGTTAACTATCCCACGCAGAGAAGTCTGCTTACAGAACATAAGAGGTTCTTCACGTACCGTGCCCCGTGTCACCTGAATGTTAAATGGGGCTCCGGTAATTCAGTGTCCAACGCCGAATCATCTTTCACCATCACCACGCGTCTATTAAGGCCAATGTGACGAGGCCATAGATAGACACCGCGTTATAACGGGGGGGGGGGGGAGCAAGAAAAACGTCGTACTACGTGACATCACAACACCCTGCACACAGCCATAGCGGCTGATTAGGGTGCGCATCATTTACGAATATGTGGTTTAAGTGGTTGAGAGTAGATTTTGGTGTAAATTGATCACGATGCTTTGCGTAGCCTGCATTTAAAATTTCATGCGTGGGTGCGTGAGCAGATATGAGTGGGTGAGTGCGTGAGTAAGTCGGTAAGTGAGTATGTGGGTAGATGGAGGGAGCTGGGCGGGCACGGCATGGGCTGGAGTGGAGGTGGACTGATGCGGTACGGGAGGATGTGGAGCTGAGTGGGCTTTGCCGACGACTGGTACCAGTGGTGTCGAGATCGGCCTCTGCGGGGAGGCTCGTGAAGGATGCTTCTACTTGGCAGTTGGCGACAATCGCCCTCCAACAACAACGGAGGAGTGACACTCACAACAACGATCGGAACACCGGATGATAAATATGCAGCAATTTGGCACAGTACGGGGTACAGGTGGTGCTGCCAGTCATCTCAGTCAGCCAACCCATGGCATCTGGGTCTGTTCCAGGACCTCCGGTCAGCGAGCCTTCGACACTTCACGTGGCTTCAAAGTGCACCTGGCCTGGCACAGGCGCTGTGGTGACGTCACTGTCACTTAGGGGAGAATGCTCCTCCCACTACTCCTGCTTGTTGTTGTGCTCAGGAAGGAGAGATAAAACTAGACTAAAATCTCAACGATTTTCATTTTACCAGGTAAGGTCCACTGAGATAAACATCTCTTTATCACGCGCTTTTATTAAACTCACTCTTAGGCCGCTGTACGTGAGCTGTATCGTTCAGTTTCGTTCCGACAAACGGGGCACTACTTTTTCTTTTGCTCAATATGTTCAACGTTAATAAAAGGTATCCAAGCAAAAAGTTCTCCACGCATTATCTTGCAGTTAATGAGAAAAGTGTAATTTATTGGCGCACTATATTGACTGCGTATTGAGACATATAAAACTGTTGAGCTAGATTTTCAACCAATCAGCATCGAAAATGTAAGTAGGTCAGAGCCAAAATCAAGCCAATATCACTACGCACATGTAAACATGGAGGACTTAAGCAGCGCAGCTTCATCTGATAGCGGCGATCAAACAAATCCTGCTATCGAGATTACACAAGATTTCTCAGCAAAACTGAAAAACATATAGGTAGGTAAAAAAAAATGTTTGTTCACAAATCTGTGGGGTCACTCCAATTACATTTACATATTGCGTATGAATGCAATGTAATTCCATAATCAAATTATTTCTCTATAGAAGGTAGGGCTTTAAATATACATGTCCTATCTAATGCTCTGACTGGAGCCTTCACTTAGCAACAGTGAGACGTATGCTGGCATGGTATTTTGCATATGACTGCCAAAATTATGCAAGGTACCTATCAGCATATTGGGTCGAGATGATCAATCTTCCAAAGACTCATCCACACTGCTATGAAGAAGTTACTGCAAAAGGAAACTGGACAGTATAGCGTAAGGATGCTAACAGGTTCTCATCCATAGCTTGTGACCAAGCAATAGAACAAACCTGCAACCGTGATTCAAAGACCAAAGGCGGCATAACTGGGATAACATTGAACAGAGGTGCCGTCCAGCGATGGATACTGTCTCATCCTGAACGTTCTGCAATCACAAGGCAGTGTGAAATGATGGCTGGAATGCAACATGAAGAGAGGGGTCATAAAGAGTTGGATGCAACAAGAATTGCAAAAGACAATGCTGCTGTTATATCTTTGGTTTCAGCGGTTGAGTCTATGATCAATCCCTTGCTGCCTCGTGAAGATCTTGTAGGTATTAGCTCTGGTGTTGTTGCTACAAAGACTGTCAGAGATGACATACAAAGTGCTTGTGATAAAGGTGAAACAGCTCTGAAAATTTTCATCCAAGATCGAGTCCAGTCATCAAAAACAGACTTCTTCTCTCCAATAAAGTCATTGAAGCTCACTGCGTTTGGGGATCAAATGAAGAAATCATCCAAGACAAAAGATGGAAATCAAGTCATTCTAAAAAATGACAGGAGACTCTTTGCACGACTGTTAGTGATAAGTCAATCCCTGTCTGTAAACTTGAAAGAGATTCTGACATATTCACTTGGCAATATCTCATCCCCGCTAGCAAGCACTGATGGTTCATTAGCCAAAACAAATAAGGCTGCTTTTCTAGCTTGTTTAGAATCAAAGAACAAGGACTGTCATGTGAACAAGACTGTTGGTGATAATGGTGCCCTACTGATAGATGGCATGGCATTGATCATGAGTCTCAAGAATATACCAGACACATTCGGTGAGCTTGCTGATGATCTTATTCAACTTATGATTAAGATGGGTAGAAAGTTGTCCAAGGGTCGATTTTGTCATTGATCGCTACCCGGCAGTGAGCATCAAAAATTCTGAACAATCAAGACGTGCTGTTGCGGGACAACAATTACTGCAAATATACAGCATCAAGCAGAAGACTCCAAGTCAGTGGACCAAGTTTCTAGCCAGTGGTGAAAATAAAAAAGCCTTGACAGACTTTCTCTTTGAGACATGGAGAACTGTGCCTTTACAAGCAGCTGGAAAAGACATAGCTATCTTTGTGGCACACAGAAATGTATGTCATCAACTCACTCTTAAAGATGGCATTATGTCTGTCAAAGAGGTAGAATCTTTGACTTGTGACCATGAAGAAGCGGACACGAGGCTCCTACTTCATGCAAACATGCCTGGAGTGAACTTTATAATAAGATAATCATCCAGAGTCCTGACACTGATGTTGCTATCATTTCACTTTCAATAATGGCTAAGCTTCCCTCAGCAAAGATGTACTTTCTGACAGGAACAAAAGACAGGCAAAGAATGTTAGATCTCCAGGCTATTGGTTCTGCTTTGGGTCCTTCACTAACAGAGGCACTGATAGGACTACAAATATTCACTGGCTGTGACTCAACTAGTTCCTTTTATGGGAAAGGAAAAGAGAAACCACTAAATATAGTGTCTGGAAATGCAGAGTACATCCGTGCATTTGTTGCTCTTGGGAGGCAATTTGAAATGGACAGCACCACATTTGTGACCATAGAACGTTTTGTGTGTGAGCTGTATGGAGAAAAGGTATCAGATGTTAATTTGGCCAGATACAATAGGTTCTGTGTCCAGGCCTCTTCCGAACAGGCATTACCTCCAACAAAAGATGCACTTACAGAGCACTTCAAGCGTGCTAACTACCTAGCTGCAATCCACAGGAGAGCATTGGATCCTTTTATAAATGCTCCCAGTCCAGACGGCTTTGGATGGATTGTCAAGGATGGTGATCTCATCATATCATGGATGACTAAAGATCCAGCTTCTCAACAGATTTTGGGGTCACTCCACTGTGGGTGTAAGTCTCGTACTTGTACAGGTGGAAGGTGCTCATGCCACAAGGCTGACCTGGCCTGCACTGACCTATGTAAATGTGTTCATTGTGACAATGTGAGATTAACTCAGGATATTGTTTCATGTGAATCTGATAGTGAGGACAGTGATCTTAATATTTAGTGATGTGTATATGATAATAAAATTAATATAGGACATATATATTTAATATAAATCAATCAAAATTCAATCTTGTTTACAATAATCATTGCTGTGAATATGTACATGTAGTGCAGTTGCTGCTCATGTATGCGAATTGACAATTCACCATTAAATGTGTTATTTTGAAAAGTGCTTTTTTATATATTATATTTTGGCTTAATTCTATTTGTTATTCAGATTTTACCTCAAATATTACCTTTCAATTGGAACAACATAATGAGAAGTAATTGGGATGTTAATGCTACAGCAGAAGTTTTCTTGATAATCTTATCATGTTTACTGTGCATAGATAACAACTTCAGGTATATCACACATTTCAAACTGGTTAATTTTGTACTTCAAGTGGTAATTCTGCATTTTTGGGTTTATATGATAACCAGGTTTAAAAGTGCAAAATTCCCTATGGTTTCCCTTTTTTCAAAATGGGCACCTTTAGCATCATTTTTCTCAAAAACTGCAAGGTTGTGTGCGGATAACTTTTTCCTAAGGAATCTCTATATATTTCTGATGTTAAATATTTAAAAAGTAGGTAGTGCCCCACTTGGTGGAACGAAACCCTATTTCTAGGCCTCTTTTAGGCTACCGACAGCGGCCTATCTGTCTGTTGTTGTCGTATCTTCAAATCTTGTAACTCAATTTTAACCCACTTCCCAATGTGGTATCGACTGCAAACTTGGTATACTTATGTCATACTGATGCCTAAACTACATTCTATAAAACAAAGTATTTTTAAACATTCATTTTATATGTTATGTTTCGGCTTGGGTCTAATTGTCCACGCTCAACTGACGTTGGCTGTAAATCACCATGGTCCCTTACGTTATGGCAAGCATCGGGGCCACTTCCTGGATTCGTGGTACATTTCATCTAATTAAAGCGTGTTTTTAAAAAAGTACTTTTAAATATTACTTATTCAGAAGCGACTTGGCACCAATAATAGCTCAACGAAGTGGCTCATCATCACGTGTAAATTATAGCAGCTAAATATTTTAAACGAATATTCATATTCTTGGTTCTTTCGGTAAAGTCACGTGAATAGAAAACCAAAAAATAAAAAAATGAGTAATGAAAATGAAATAAATATAATAAATTACCATTATTATTATCAATTTATCTTATTTTTTTATATAAAAAATAGATTTTTTGTTTTCTATTTAGTTATATTCATTCCTGCAGTCACGAAAGTTTTAAGTCAAAACTTTAAACGAATGTTTCTTAATGTGGAGAGAAAAAGCGGAGGACCCGGAGAAAAATCCACGCGACCACGGGGAGAGACAGAGACACGCAAACTCCAAATATACAGCAGGCATCAAGGTCGGGATCGAACCCAAACTCCTGTATACCAGGCGAGGTAGTTAGGGGGGAAAGCAGAGACAGCGAGAGGGAAGATAATTAGTCAAACTCACACTCGGTATTACTCACCAACCATGATACACTCACCATCACACTCACCATGATACTCACCATCATACTCACGCATTCACCATCATACTCACACACAATCCCACACACATCAACAGTCGCCATTCACCACTACGTGGCGGTGACGTCACCACAATAACCCAGGTGCCATGGATTGACGGCTGTGCCAGGCTAAGTGCAGGAGGAGGTCACGGGCCAGACTCAGGTGCCATGGGCCGACTGCTCTGCCTGGCTCGGTACAAGAGGAGGGCTAGACCCTGGTGCTATGGGTTAACTCGTGTGCCACCACCTGCACAGCAACCACAGTAACAACCACACAACTATAATCACAACAATAACCACGACCAACAACTGTAACCACAACTATAATGTAACCACAACTATAATTCCCACCAGCCACGCGGCCGTCTGGGAGTGCCTCTCAGCAGCAGCAGCAGGGCCGAGCTCTGCTTGAAGCTGCGCCGTGAACTCCGCAGAACGTGACGGCTGTGGGCCAGGCGCCTCCTCTGTCTCCTCCCACCGCCGCCGCCACTGCTGATGTGGACACACCGCGCGAGGTTCTCACCTTCAGGCTGAGTCGACGTAGAGGAGGCCCAGCGAGCCGCCGCTTCAGAAGCTTTCGCTCGCCACTGACGGTGGCCGTGAGCGGGAATCCAAACCAGCCGCTCGCCACCCACAATGCACTGCGCGCGCCGCCTCCACTCGACCCCAGCGGAAGTGGCAGCGGGGGGAGGGGGGAGGGGCATGGGGGTTGAGGGGGAGGGGCATGGGGGGGAGGGGGGTGGGGCATGGGGGGAGGGGGGTGGGGCATGGGGGTGAGGGGGAGGGGCACGGGGGGTTGAGGGGGAGGGGAATGGGGGGTGAGGGGGGTGGGGCATGGGGGGTGAGGGGGGTGGGGCATGGGGGGTGAGGGGGGTGGGGCATGGGGGGAGGGGGGTGGGGCATGGGGGGTGAGGGGGGGGGGCATGGGGGGTGAGGGGGGTGGGGCATGGGGGGTGAGGGGGGTGGGGCATGGGGGTGAGGGGGTGGGGCATGGGGGGTGAGGGGGGTGGGGCATGGGGGTGAGGGGGGTGGGGCATGGGGGGAGGGGGGTGGGACATGGGGGGTGAGGGGGTGGGGCATGGGGGGTGAGGGGCATGGGGGGTGAGGGGGGTGGGGCATGGGGGGTGAGGGGGTGGGGCATGGGGGGTGAGGGGGAGGGGCATGGAAGGTGAGGGGGGTGGGGCATGGGGGGTGAGGGGCATGGGGGGTGAGGGGGGTGGGGCATGGGGGGAGGGGGGTGGGGCATGGGGAGTGAGGGGTGGGGCATGGGGGGGGAGGGGGGTGGGGCATGGGGGGTGAGGGGGGTGGGGCATGGGGAGTGAGGGGTGGGGCATGGGGGGGGAGGGGGGTGGGGCATGGGGGGTGAGGGGGGTGGGGCATGAGGGTGAGGGGGTGGGGCATGGGGGGTGAGGGGGAGGGGCATGGGGGGAGGGGGGTGGGGCATGGGGGGTGAGGGGGGTGGGGCATGGGGGGAGGGGGGTGGGGCATGGGGGGAGGGGGGTGGGGCATGGGGGGTGAGGGGGAGGGGCATGGGGGGTTGAGGGGGAGGGGCATGGGGGGTGAGGGGGGTGGGGCATGGGGGGTGAGGGGGGTGGGGCATGGGGGGAGGGGGGTGGGGCATGGGGGGTGAGGGGGAGGGGCATGGGGGGTTGAGGGGGAGGGGCATGGGGGGTGAGGGGGGTGGGGCATGGGGGGTGAGGGGGGTGGGGCATGGGGGGAGGGGGGTGGGGCATGGGGGGTGAGGAAGAGGGGCATGGGGGGTTGAGGGGGAGGGGCATGGGGGGTGAGGGGGGTGGGGCATGGGGGGTGAGGGGGGTGGGGCATGGGGGTGAGGGGGTGGGGCATGGGGGGTGAGGGGGGTGGGGCATGGGGGTGAGGGGGGTGGGGCATGGGGGGTGAGGGGGTGGGGCATGGGGGGTGAGGGGGTGGGGCATGGGGGGTGAGGGGTGGGGCATGGGGGGTGAGGGGGGTGGGGCATGGGGGGAGGGGGGTGGGGCATGGGGAGTGAGGGGTGGGGCATGGGGGGTGAGGGGGGTGGGGCATGGGGGGTGGGGGGTGGGGCATGGGGAGTGAGGGGTGGGGCATGGGGGGGAGGGGGGTGGGGCATGGGGGGTGAGGGGGGTGGGGCATGGGGAGGTGGGGCATGGGGGGTGAGGGGGGTGGGGCATGAGGGTGAGGGGGTGGGGCATGGGGGGAGGGGGGTGGGGCATGGGGGGTGAGGGGGGTGGGGCATAGGGGGTGAGGGGGGTGGGGCATGGGGGGTGAGGGGGAGGGGCACGGGAAGTGAGGGGGGTGGGACATGGGGGGTGAGGGGCATGGGGGGTGAGGGGGTGGGGCATGGGGGGAGGGGGGTGGGGCATGGGGGGTGAGGGGGTGGGGCATAGGGGGTGAGGGGGGTGGGACATGGGGGGTGAGGGGGTGGGGCATGGGGGGTGAGGGGCATGGGGGGTGAGGGGGTGGGGCATGGGGGGTGAGGGGGTGGGGCATGGGGGTGAGGGGCATGGGGGGTGAGGGGGTGGGGTATGGGGGTGAGGGGGGAGGGGCATGGGGGGTTCGCGAGGGGGGGAGGGGACATTGAAGGTGGTCGCGAGGAGGGGCAGGGGGGAGCATGGGGGGTGAGGGGGAGGGGCATGAGGGGAGGAGCTAATGGCTGTGACATCACTGGGGGGCGTGGTTACCTTGTACCGCCCCCGCGTCTCGCGCCACTGGCAGTTTGGCCGTTAGAGATGTCTACGTAGTTTATACTTTAGTTGTTTACGTGGTGGTTTAGTTACTGCAGCTACATACTATTAACATTCCTTTATTAATGCCACCCCTATCCCCTCCCTTGGATGCTGCTAATCCTGCATAATGCACGGGCATAATATGACTTTAAACCCCCCGCCCACCTCCTCCGCATTTCACAAGTAGTACTAATCACATACCTGCATTTCCCATAAATATGCTAAATTCCTCTTGATATGCAAATTATTTTGTCAAGGCGCCCTTCCCCCCTTCCAACCCAGCTTAAATATATACTCCAAGCATGGTGGTGTTTCATTCCTACCCACACACTCACTCATCCACAAACCCACTCACCCCCTCACTCATCCATCCACTCACATACTCACCCAGCCACTCACCTACTCACCCAGTCACATCCACATCCACTCACCATGCTACCCACTCAATTTCTAACCCACCCACTCGCCCAACCACCCGGCCACTCCCTCAGCAACTCACCCACTAACCACGTAATTATTCACCCACCCACCCATCACTCAACCACCCAATAATTCAACCACCAAAACATTCAACCACCCACGAACTCAACCACCGAGCCACTCACACTCACCCACTCAACTACTGAGCCATTCATACACTGAACCACTCACTAAGCCACCCACTCAATCACTAACCCACACTCATGCACCCAGCCACTCACTCACTCAGCGACTCACCTATGACGCATCAACCCATCCACTCACTCATCCACCCACGCACCCACTCACGCACGCACCCACTCATCCACACAATAAACGAATATTTAATTGTTTTTCATTTTACTGTAAAGGCTCACTGACCTGGCCCAGCTTCGGCTGAGGTCCGACCCTCAGCCACACGAGCCTGGCCCTCACAAGGACACAGACCTCGCTGCTCTGAGGTCGCCCCTGGCTTGCCCTGCTCGGCTCTTATAAGAGCAGCGAGTCAGGGTAGTCCCAGGGCTAGCTATCTGGTCTTCAGTCGTCACTGGCACTTTTGCTCCAACGACTGCTTCGAGCTCTCTCGCGCACCGCCTTATATAGCCAACTGCCCCCCGAGGGGCGGGGCTGTATGCGGACGTTGATGTAGACACCCCACGCACGGACCGTGATGTAGATACCGCAACGTAATGGCTTGCTACACCCCGGTACGTAACACCTCACGTAGAAGGGAAGTAATAAAATAATAAAAAAATAAACATAATTAAATCATTCTCACGACGTTTCGGCCACAACGCAAGCAGCCGTCCTCAGGTGAAAACCAGGTCTGTCAAGGTGACAGCGTCTGAATGAAACACCACACGAGCTTGGAGCATATATATAAGCTGGGCGCCTTGACAAAGGAATTTGCATATCAAGAGGAATTTAGCATTTCCATGGGAAATGCAGGTATGTGAATAGTACTAATTCAGCATCAAAGGGAGGGGATAGGGGTAGCATTAATAAAGGGAAGGAGTGTTAACAGTATGTAGCTGCAACAACTAAACCCAACGCGTAAACAACTAAAGTATAAACCACATAGTATCATCAGTATACTTACTATACTCTACAATAAGCTTAGTTACTAACAGTAAGTAATACATTACAATTCTACGTCGTAAAAATATATAATATGCTTCCATCTAAACTTTATTCTCTTACATCACACGAGTCTACACCGTACTATATACTGCCATAGACAAACCCAACATTAAATTATATACTGTCTCTGTGTTTGTATATGTGGATCGCCTCATGAACGACAATTTCAACCGAGAATATGGATTCGGGCTTAGCAATCATTGGAAGGACGTAATAAACCATTTCGGATCTTAACTGATTGTGTTCACGTTTACGGTGACTTTCAGCCGCTGCTGCTTCAGCTGAGCGCTGCAGCAGCAGCCCCCCACCCCCGGACCCCTCCCCCACCCTCCACTTCTCACCCTGACGCCACACAACCCGTGGGTAGGCGATGCCCTCTGGTGGACAATGCGCGGTACAGGCGGCAGCACGAGACGCCAGCAGCGTTACGCTGCCACGGTTACTCACCCGAACACCTCCGTACACTTACACACACCTACACACACCTCTATACACTTACACACACATACACACACACCTCTATACACTTACACACACATACACACACACCTCTACACACCTACACACACACTTCTAAACACTTACACACACCTACACACACACATCTATACACTTACACACCCCTACACACACCTCTAGACACTTACACACACCTACACACACACCTCTAGACACTTACACACACCTACACACACCTCTAGACACTTTCACACACCTCTATACACTCACACACGCACACCTCTATAAACTCACACACACACCTCTTTACACTTACACACACCTACACACACACCTCTATACACTTACACACACCTACACACACACCTCTATACACTCACACCTACACACACACCTCTATACACTTACACACACCTACACACACCTCTCGACACTTACACACACCTCTATACATTCACACACACCTACACCCCTCTATACACTCACACACACTCACACACACCTACACACACCTCTATACACTCACACATACACACACACCTCTATACACTTACACACACCTACAGACACCTCTAGACACTTACACACACCTCTATACACTCACACACACACCTCTTTACACTTACACACACCTACACACACACCTCTATACAGTTACATACACCTACACACACCTCTATACACTCACACATAAACACACACCTCTATACACTCACACACCTACACACACACCTCTATACACTTACACACACACCTACACACACACTTCTATACACTCACACACACCTACACACCTCTATACACTCACACACACTCACACACACCTACACACACCTCTATACACTCACACCTACACACACA